TTAGAAATTAGATTATCACAAGTAGATCAAGGGTCTATACAAGAAAATCAATTCAGTGAGGAATTGCATTCAGGTAGGATGGGTGGAGTGCTGGGTTAAGGAAAGCTGGTCCATCCAGAGTTGTGCTTTCCCATTAATTTATGGCTATTTAATTTAAACTTAAATCAAATTGAATTTAAAATTTAGTTCCTTAGTTACACTAACTATACTACAAGTGCTTGATAGCCATAAGTAGCTAGTTGCTGCTGCATTGGACAGTACAGATATAGAACATTTCCTTCATTGCAGAAAATATTGTATCACAGAAAGTACAGGATCTAGAATCCTGGGAGTAGATATCAAGGAAAAGGAACTCAAGATAGGCAACAAAAGAATGAAGAAAGTGAGGCTGGGCAACGTGTATCTAGACAAGGAATTTAAGTATTGAGCAAGGTGACACAGCTGGAAGATGGCATTCACTCTTCTGTCAAAGGCTTGTTGAAAGTCCTGCAGGGAATTATTTAAGTATAAATAACAACCCAAATTGGTATCTGTGTTAAATTGTGTTCTGTATCCCATTATGTGATAAATGGTTTTGGAAGGTGGGGGGCTATCTTCATGGATCAAGAGTGAGATAATTAGTCCATGAAGGATTTTCTCCTAGATTGTATATGGTGGTGGTTGGAATATTGAATGCCTGTCCTCTGTTTCTCATTTCACTGACCCTTCATGCCATTTAAGGTATAAAGGTATGCATCTTGGTAATAGTAGTCACACTCCTACAGCGCTTATGTATATTTTAACATCTCGTTTGACATATTAAGAAAATAGGATAAAAGGCAAACAACTAGTGTATTCAAACTGAATCAAAGAAAAATAAAATCTAGAATTTCGTTGTGTTGAATGATTTTGGATTCCTTAAGCAAATATGACTCAGAGTGTAGGTATAATGTGCATTGAAAATACTTGAAGCATGTATATGCATACAGTCCCAAATACCTAGAACGGCATTCACGTACTTTTACAGCACAGAGCTGTTTTGGTTAGACGATTATAATAGTAGCTTACTTATACTTTTGGTGAGGTAAGCTAATGATGTAGCCATTAATTTGAATTTAGCAGACATTTTAAACATAGGTTTCTCTTACAGAGACAAAAGTTGCAATTTAAAGCTCTTTGGTGGTCTAAAAACAGCTTAATTCTGTAGTAGCTTGGTAATAAGTACTAATCCAGCTTATACAGTGATTGTAGTATGTCATGTTTGTGAAAGATTGCCCAACTGCTTTCTCTGGGTTTTATGTTAATTTAAAAATATTAAACATAAAACCTTATAACATCTTCATGCTGAGATAAACTTCAATTTAACTTGTGCTCAAGCAGCAGCTGTCAGGAATTATCTTGTTCCTAGTGGTTTTTGCTTTCACCTTGTGCCCTTTCCTGCCAGAGACACAGTGTGGGATGGTAAAGCTCACCTTGTTAGGATTTATTGCTTAAATAATACCTGAGGCAAGATGAACATTGGGAGCCTAGGGATTAGCTGCCGATTGAGTGATGTCATTCATTGTATTATACACTTTTTTTTTGATTGATGGAGGACGGCAAAGAAAAAATTGCCTATGAATCTTACCTGCATTTCTTTTGTGGGCATCTTCATCACTTCTTTTTAGGTGTCATTGAGCTGAATATTTGAGGAGTTGCTTATTGTCTAATTTAACTTCCATTTTACAAGCAAAAAAGCAAAGAGAAATGTTTTACTAATGTTGGAGATAATTCCCACAGTTTAGAAGTAGTGAGCGCTATTTCAAGATTAGTTATAAAAATAAAATGAGTTTCCTGTTAATGACTGAACAAACTGAAGGAAGTGTTGGTGTGGGCAGTCCCAAATGGGTAATATTATGAAAATCATTGCCATTTTACTTCTGAATGTATTGCATTCTCTCATTTGAGAGCTTTTATTTGGAAGTCTCAATTTTAGATTTGGATTCCTTGATTGTGGATCAGCTGGTAGGTAGGGTAAGGAGAGGCGGTATGTGGTAGAGGAGAGTGAAGGGCTTGCTTTAGTTAAACATTTGCTACAGATGTTCCGCCCTGAGGATAGTTCTCTTGGAGGAAATGAACAATTGGAGTCTGACTAGAAATACATATATGATGGGTTTACTGTTTATGGAATGTGGCATATTTTTCCCTTCTACTTACTGCCATTTAATGAATATCCTCCCAAATTTGTAGTTTTATAAATGTATAACTTAAAAATTTGCAAGACTAGATCAGTGAGTTACAATATATCATTTATTTAGATTAATCAAATGTTAACATTTTGCACATTTATTTCTATCTATGAATATTTGAATATTTGTTTTGAGTGGCCTTTGGACCGAACTATTTAAGACTTAGTTGCAGGCATCATTACACTTCACATGTTGATAATTCAACACGTGTCTCCTAAGAATGAGGATATTCTCCTGCATAATTGCAGTAAAATCAATACACTTCAATTTAAGATTGATAAAACTTTACAATTTTATATTCAGAGTTTCCCTGTTGTTCTTATATCTTCTACAGCTGTTTTTTATTTTTTTCCCCATTCAGTATCCCATCAAGTATCACACATTGCATTTTGTTTGGGGGGTCTTTTTATTTCCCTTTACTCTAGATTTTTTTCCTTTTATGACCTTGACATTTTTTGGAGATCCAGCCCATTTATTTTGCAGAATATTTGTCTGGCTATTTCCTCATGACCAAGTTCAGATCAAGTATTTTTGTCAGGAATTGGTGATCTCTGTCTTTCTCAGTGTATCACATTGGGAAATACATGATATCCCTTTGGCCCATTATTGTTCATATTGTTTGGTCACTTGGGTAAGTTGATGTCTACCAAATTTCTCCATTATAAGGGTACGATTTTTTATAATTAATGAATAGATGGAAGCTGCAGTTAATGAGTTTTTCTTCCTTGTGTGTGAAAAACATTGAGTTTGCTCAGGTCTTAATGATAACAATGAGTCATTGTTTGCAGTAGTTTGTTATGTTGGGACTGGGGAGTGGGAATAGAGGGGGGTGTATTACTCAACTTGATCCACAAGTTGCCATCCGTTTTCTTTTAAGGAAAATGTAGATTGACTGAGATTAAATTTTATTGTTCTCTCTACTAAAGATCAGATTTGTAGATAAGCAAATATCTTCATATTTCAGAATTTTCAATCTAAATTTTAGAAAAGCTTATATTTAGTGGTGGTGGTGGGAATATTTTTGGAAAAAATAGAGGACATTTTCTGAACATGAATTTTCTATTTGCTTTAGTTGAGTACAAATAGACAATTTTTAAAAATGCATCTCCTTGATAAGATTTTTTACTTTAAAACAATAAACCATAACATTAATACAGCAATGTGAGTTTAGAGAGGTGGCTGCTTTTTGGTCTTATGTGCCTTTTTTAGCCCATGAAGAAGACACTTGAATTCCTCTTTATGATGTATGCACTTATTATGTAATCATTCTTCTTATGTGAAAGGCTAGTGCTGCAGATCATATAAACACCTGAAGTTAGCCATTTGGCTTGTCAGCAAGGGAGAATTTATAGTAGTTGTAATCATGGTAATAACAAGGATGCTATTTTGTATTTATTAAGTAGAGTAAAAAGCGTTTGCAATGTAAGTGTTCCACAACGAATTCATATCTGTGGTGTAATGAATAGTACTTTGGGCTTAGAAGACTGGGAATCTCTGCTTTGCCACTTACTGCGAGTGTGATTCTAGGAAAAATCCTTAACCTTCTTGGACCTCATTTTTTAGAATGGGAATGAAAGCTGTAAGGGTCAAATGATGCCATATTATGTTATAAAGGTAGCATTCCATCAAAATTGTGCCATCTAAATGTCCTCAGCTGCTCAGGGACTATAATTTGTCCCTCTTTTGTGTCCACACGTGTTAGCCACCTCATTAATGAAATATTTCCTGGTTGTCCCAGACAGTTGTCTGTTTGTTCCTCTAGTACTTTGTACATGCCACTGTTATTGGCAGCATTCATTCTGCAGGCTGTCTTGTTCATCTTTTCTGTTCTTCCTCACTTGACCTTGGTACCTAGTAGGCATTTATGATAAGTGTTTGTGGAATGAGTGAGTAAATAGACACTATTTCATTTATAACCATGGATAGGTAGACTTTCAGTTTCCTTTTTTTTCCCCAAAGACAAGGAACCAGGCTTTCTTCATTTTTAAAATTTATGTTTTATATAAGGGATATTACAGAGTGTACATATGGTGCCATTAGCAGTCCAGTAATCGAGAAGAAAATATAAAAGAAAAAACCCCACAAATATTGCAGAATATTTAAAAGGGGAGCATAAGAAAACATGCCAAGAGAAAAAGCCCTCACTAGATAAGTCTATTGC